TTTTTATATATATATATTTATATTTTTTTTTTTTTTTTTTTTTTTTGAGAAAATTTATGTCTGCGTCTGCATTTTTCACCTTCTTCTTCTGAATTTCTCAAACAGTCTAAGGTCTTGCTTTGTGACCGTACTGGTCTGTCTAAACTCATGTACAATACAGCCAAACTTCTAAACAGAAAGTAGTATAAAGACGAATTTAAGAGCAACAAAAATACATTTAATAGAACCAAACCAGTGTAACAAAACAAAAAAACCGAATTCAGATATCCTGAGGTTTATATGCCTTTGCTTATAACTTATGCACATTAAAGTTAATTCATTCTAAATAGGTATTTGAATACATAGTAGTGTCGTAACTTGGTGGCACGTTTAAGTTAAGTAATTCAAATTCTAGTTTCTCAAACAGTCTAAGTTTAATATCATAGCTCTAATTTATTCTAAAATAGGTATTTAAATACATAGTAGTGTCGTAACTTTTATTAGTTTTATCCCTGTGTAAATGCTCCTCTATCCTTGTTGCAAAATGGCGAGAAGTCTTCCCAATGTATGAGGCCATACAGCCTCCACATGTGAACTGATATACAACGTTGTGACTAGAGGTCATTACTAATAGGGTCTTTAATATTGAAAAAACTACTTATTTTCATTGTGCTAAATACATGTTGATGGTTAAATTGCTACAATATTTTTTGTATAGTGTATTCATCTTTTCATTAGTGTGTTATATAGATATATATATATATATACATATATATATATACTTGTTATGAAACATTATTTCTTGTTGATGTCACATAAAAATGTGCTTTCAAATTTTTTTTGCAAGTTGTGATATTGTGATATATTGCATCATCTATTTTTCAGAGGCTTGAGTTAAAAAATGATATGTCATCTTTATGATTGTAATCAGCTCAGTTTTTAATCAGAAAATGTTTTTCCAATTTTTAAATGTCAACATCTTTTTTTTTGTTCAGTGACAGTAGGCAAATTAATGTGATGGTGCAGATATAACAGTTTTGAAATAATCATGACAGAATCTAATCTCTTGATGTTTCTGCAACACTATATCACCTAAAACCTAGCAGAGACATTGCTAGTTTTTTTGGCAAAATAAACATGAAATATGTCTTTAGGGTGTTATAGCAAAGCCATACCAGTATATTACCGTATATTAGAATATGTATACAGTATATGATTAATGATTTTCAGTTTATTAATAGGGTTATTGGCAGTAAACCTTGCTTTAAGCATTAATAAAGGAGAGTTCTTAAAAAAAAAAAAAACCAATTTGTTCTGATTATTTCAAAGGTACTGTATTATAATCTGCATCAGGATGCTGAGTTTTGAATAGTTTGACAGCAGTGCTATTTGTTAATATTAGGCCCCTAATTATTATTTGGTTTTCTTTAATTTGTCATTGTTGGTTGTGGCCTGTTTGTGGCTGTAGTAAATGTTAAATAAATTACTTAATGTTTATTAGGGAACATATGGTAGGGAGGAGGAATCCATGCTTTTTTTTGCAAAACACAGGAGAATTAATTTCTTTACAGATAATTATAATTTACCATAATAGCCAGTATAATGTATGCTTCCTTTTGTAGGGGAAAATATATAAATGATATTAATAAATATATTGTGCAATACTGTACCATTCACTCCGGTGTACCTTTATTACGGTATAACTATTATTATTATTGCAAATAATTTTAAATCTATTAATTTCCATCTTCTAAAATTGTTAAAATACATGATATTAAGAATTTTATTTATTTATCTTCAAATATTTACCCCAATTTCATAAATTAAAATTCAGTTCAGAGTAAAAGAAGATTTGTCAAGAATTTAGGAAGCGTTCATTGCCATCATTTAATCTACTTTTTAAAATGTATCTCGTCCAGTTTTAATAAATTCAAATTGATAATTACCGTATGAATTTCTATGCCATAAAATATAATTGGTGCCTATTGTCTGGCATTGTTAAAGACCTTAGTAGGACATGTCGGATACACATCTACTGCTATTTTTAGAAATTATGCCTTATACCAGACACACTGTCTACAAACTAACAATTATATATATTAGTGTTGAATATTCGGTCAGTGTATTAAGAGTACAAAACTACTACTTAAACATACTAGTAGTTATAGAGATGGTCAATACAAGTAACTACATCAAAGGTTCACAAGCAAAGAACCTAGATTGATCATTTGTGACCAGCTCGATAAAAACCATATCCAATTTTGTAGTGACTACCTAAAATTGGCATCTCAAACCACATTTTGGGGG